CTGCCGGCTTCTTCCAGGGAAAAAGCTGCGACTCGGGGTGCTTGTGAAAAAGACGGCTTAGCTGAGGGGGGGGGGGGGCTTAATAAAGAGAAAGAGAGCGCTAGTAGGTAATCGAGAATATATACATCAGTAAAAAGATCAATTGATAATGTTCAATTGGTTCTTCTCGTCATTAGACAGCTAGATAGCTATAAAGAATAAAAAACTTAAGTATTAGCTCATCTTATGAAACCAAAGATATTCATAAGTGCAAAGAATTAAAAACTTTTATGAATACATTCATAAATCTATATACAAAGAATTGCACAAGCACAAATAGGTTTTTTTTCTCTTCATCTAGATGTGTTGAAAACAGAATGTCATCCTATTCATCTCGAAATAATCGTTATTATGATTCTATGCATCAATCACATGGAAATAATTCTCGATCCTAATCAGGTAATCCAATGAATGATGACAGCATGAATCGGATGTCTGAAGATTTACAAAAAATCTTTGATAATGATTCAAAATGTGCACGTTTGTTAAAAAAAGTTCTACGTGATGAACGCTCATTTGATTTACGTGTTCAACGTATTCAAGAGTTTCAAGCTTATCTTCAAAAATCTGATAGTAGTAAAGTAGTGAAAGTCTTCTTACTATTTAAAATTTAGATTCACAAATTATAACTTTTATATTATTTAGTTTATTATGAAATTAGCTGAACCAGCACTCAATATATTATTCGAACAATTTCAAGAAAGGTTCGCTCAATATCAAAAGATAAATTGCCATTTAATTAATTTTTATTTTCTAAAGATCTCATGAAACTATTCGATCGGAACTTGCTCATTGTATTGGACTAATAGGTTTTGTTATGTTAAATGAAGGCGATCCAAAGTAGAATAAAATCATATTTTTTTAAACTATAGTTCTCGGTTTTTTCGTTCAAGATTTGCTGAATGAATATTTGAACCTTTAAATGTAGTACGAAAAAATGATATTCAAAAACAATTACTTATCAATGCATTTCACCATACTATTCAAAATGAACATGAAGTATTATGTTTAACTGATCATATTCAACATATAAGTGAACAATTTAAAAAAGTTCTTGAATCAATTGTTCATGCACCATTAATGACTACTGTAACCGATACAATTATTGTTCTTTCGAGAATTTATCCTCAAGTATTTCAAGAGATATTTGTTGTATGTGTCTTGTCAAAAAAAAACAGTTTTGCCAGTTTTATTTTTATGTTGTTGTCTTTTATTTAAAGGATATTGTTGATATTCTTATCGGTTGGTACATTGAACCATTACCAACTGATCGCATCCTTGAATATACAGCTCAAGCATTGCATAAATTTCGTCCATTTTGAATAGAACAAATTGAAGCAACATTAACTTTATTAGATCATTTTATTGAAGATGCTGATAATTATGCGCAAGCAAATAAATGAAGAAAAAAAACCAGAAATAACGATCGTTCTAGATACATACATATTGATAATTTCATTTGTTCTTCTTTTTTCAGCAATTTCAAAGTCAGGAAGAAAGGAATGATGATAATATGATTTCATTATCAGACAAGATTGCTGCTTTATACAGGTAAATAATAAGAGAAGAATTGTAGTATTCTTATTTTTTGTCGAAATATGATTTAAATCATTATTATAATTCATTAGAAAAGATTTCTTATTCACAAGCATTCACTTGAAATTCACAATAGCTAGAGACTACAAAATTAACTTTCGTTTTCAATTTTTCTCG